AAATTGGGCAAAGTTTGAATATGTGATGGAGAAAGTGAAATTATGCTGATTTGAGATGTGAGAATATCAAAATAAATCTAAAGACTTGTATTGCAATAAAGGAGCCTTATGCTCAGCTGACATTTCTCCTTTATACCTTCTACTCCATTTCCTATGTAATGTCAGGTGCAGAAGCTTTCTCTGAAGAAGTACACCCAGGAAGGAGTGAAGGGAACTGCTGTTTTAAGAAACAGAGTGAAGGGGTCTCGTTCTAGACTGTGATGATAGAAAGACCATGCTTCTGCACAGATTTCCATCCAGATGGATACTTCCATTGCAATAATAAAGATGAAACCATGTGCAACAGATTTTAATGACATTTATCTTCAGCTTTAAAAATCAATAAATAATGGTTATGTACACATACCAACTCCCCACCTTAAAGTAATCATTATGTAATGCAATCATGTAGTAATAAAAAATCTAAATGCTATTTTAGGGGCATTAGCCACTGACATTTCTCAAGGTGTTTCATAACTCAAACACTTTTTAACAAACACATAAGAAAGTCAGCACAATGAACAAAGCAATTAGAATGATTTTCACATAAATTGTCTCAAATAATTTTACTCTTTTGTGATATCTTTGCTTAAGGTTTTGGTAAAATTATTAAAAGAATTAGACCAAAGTTGAAGTATAAACTTACAAAATGGAGTGAGTCTCCTCGATAATATATCCTTATGTATTGTTAGTATATGAGTACATGTACACATTAGTTGTGTGCATAATTAATAAAGTGAGGGAATTTAAACACACTGCATCTTCTTAGTAAAGCCTGAGAAATCTCAAATTGCTTTCACCAAAGATTACTGAATTTCACCTTTATTCTCTGTACAATGCAAAGTGTTCAAAATTAATTTGCTTGCTAGCATTTCTCTCAGGTAGCCTAACATCTCAGACTGTCAGACAAGCAGATAAAATGTATAATACTTGTTCTTCAGTTTTTCAAGTGGTACATGATGCACTGAGGTTGAGAATGCTCCAGTAAATCCAAAGCTGTGGTGAAGGAATATCAAGATGCCACTTGGAACCTCTTTCTTGAAGCCAAAGTTGCCCTCTGAAAAGATTTAGGGAGGTTCTGTGAGCCTGAAACACAAACCAAAAAAGTAATTTTCATTAAACAATCAACCTTTCCAGAGAATTGTTTTATACATTCCACGTAGATGCTACTTTTGAAACAGAGGAAAATATTTTATTTTGATGTCAGTTTTGCACAAAGTAGGAAAGAGTCCTATACAAAGACAGCCATTTGGAGTCCTAGAAAAAAGGGAAGGTGCGCTCCACAACCAGGCTTATGACCAGCCGTGTGTGCTCTGCTAGTGTCCAAGATCGGGCCCTGAGGTCTGGAAAGTTCAGCAGGAAGCTTGGGCAGCTCCCGTTTTTATAGGAATAGCCACGCCAGCTGGCCTCCGAGTCCTAGCCCACTACCAGAGAGCACCTCTACTCAGGACCTGCTTCTTCCTTTCCAACAAAAAGCAAAGGAGAAGTTGATAAGTTTACAGTTCCAAGTGCTTCTTGACCTTGAAGCAAAGGGAATAAGGATGCCATGTGCCTACATTTTAGAGAAAATAAAAAATAAACACACTTAGAAGAATGTGTTTTTTCCAATGTTATTTAAAAAAGGCCTCTGACCATCAATGGTAATAGCTATCTCAAAGTTATGGATAAGAGAATAAGATTGATAAGAGAATAAGCTGATGGTATTTCGTGAAAGATTAGGGGTGTGAGTTTCTCTTTCTTATTTCAGCTGTCATATGTGCAAAAACCCATCAGGCATCTCCACCTGGCATGCTGTAGTCAACATGCCAAAAGTCAACTTCAGCTTTCCTATGGTTCCCTCTTTAAACAACACAGTTACTGCCCACACGCAGAAGCTCAGTTGTCTGTTCTCACTTCCTTCTTACACCCTTGGCCTGCTGGAGCCCGCTCTGCTCCCTCTACTAATAGAAGATTGAGGTTGGTGGTTCCTCTAAATCACCACTCTCGTGGCCCATTCCATCTTCCCCATAACACTGAATGCTTCTTGAAGTACAGACCAAGTCATTCTTTTGGTTCTCTGTCTTGGTTTCTTTCTTTTGGCTGAGTTGGGGATAAAACCCAGGCCCTAAGACATATTAAGAAAGTGTTTCCCACTCAGCCCCAGCCCCAGTCTCCAGCCCCAACCTGAAGTTCTGAATCTCTGCTATTTAGCTCAGAATTTGCAAGGCCCAGAGAGTGAGGCTTCATCAGTACAATGTTACTGGTGAACACACAACTTTGGTGTCTGCTTTCCTCTGGTCATCTAAAGTGATGATGAAGCTCCAGTGGTACAATCAGTTAGTGTGTGGTACTTATACAAAAATGATGTTGAGGGCCAGGAAAATAGCATAGTGGTCTAAGTGCCTGCCTGGCAAGTGCAAGGTCCTGAGTTTGATCCCTGCTACCAAAATAATAATAATAATAAATAAAATGATGTTGATTAAATACTTGAAATGCAGCATGGATGTCTAGAGTAAATAATGTTGCCACAAAGAATAGCTAATATTTCTAGGGAACATAAAAAGCAACAAAAAGGTATAGCAGGCAACAACTTCTAGTACACAAGAAAATGTTTAAAAGGCTAAAGCCTCTCTGACATCTCTGTGCCACAGAATTATAGAAAGGCTTATGCAGCAATAAATCTGAGTTATATAGTGCTTAAAATTTACTTGATTTACTTTTAGAATTAGAAGATATTGAAAATTGTCCTTGTTTCATGTTTGGAGTGCCTGTCATTCTGGTATTCTGAATATGGGCTGCTTGTCATGGCATGCCAGTTGCTGCTATGATGTTTCTCGGGTAGGTTGATGTTCAAGAAGAAGGGGGTGGTGAATGAAAGCAAGATACAGGAAAAGGAATATTGTGGGACTGTCCTGCTTCAAGGTTGTATATGGTGAGATTTTTGGACTTATGTGCAAACATGAGAAGTATATAATTCTTTATCCTACTTTAAAAATATAATCTAATTTTTAAATGTTTTTTATCATATTATGTAGGGACTTAAAGTTCAACATATCAATACTTGATGAAAAATACCTGTTCCTTATTATGCCTAAGATGTTTGAAATGCAGAGAGATAGTGAGATTAAGCTTAATAGCCTAAGTTGTTTGATAATAACAATAAGCTTGTCTTCTGGATGGTTAACAACCTAAGTTTGCAGACCAAAATTAGAGAAAAAGGAGGCCAACATTTTGGCCCTAACCTTCTAAGGTCAATTAAGACTCAGGACATATGAGAACTTGTACTGTAACGTCAGGTAACTCGGTAGTGTCCCAAATTTTCTGATCAAGGAGATTATGGGTCCAAAGAGGAAAGTGATCGATGATGTAGAGTGTGCCTAAGGAAAGTCACATGGGGAGAAAACACTCTCTCAGGCTTTCACAGAGAGCATATTGGCCAAGCAATGGCTGTGACTCATCCACATGGCTGCACTGACAAAGGTTCTACAATCGGAGGTACAGGATCTCAGGATAAATTCTGAGGGGATTTCACTGACCTTATCAGACCCAAAAGCTACAACTCTTGTTGCATAGGTCCTGCTTTACCTTGGTCTTAACCATCCAGCAGAAAAGTATGAAGATGAAATATAGAAAATAAATACATGCTGTTATGTTGAGCTGTGGGAGATTCAGGTCAACAATTTCTGACATTGCCAGTTAAACAGAAGACCCAATGCTATTATGGGCTACTGGACTCTTTTAGAATATTTTGCTGAGTTTACACACCTATAATATTCAAATAATGGAACTTAACAAAAAAAAAGGGATACAGATGAATGTCCATTTTGTATCTGTGTATTCAAAGTGGTTAGGATAGGTATATAGTTACATTCTCTTAATGAATAGAATGATTTGTTCTAATGGTGTTTGTAAATAGGATCTCAAGTCTGAATCTTGTACAGCAATTAACCACTAAGAAGAATGTATGCAGTGTGTTAATTATTGAAACTGTCTTACCAATTTGATTTGAAACTGTCTCATTGCTATTTGTTTATCAATAAAATTATGAAAAATAAATAAATTAATTAAATTAAATAAAAATAAAGAAAGAAAATTGTCCTTGAAACAAGACATTATTCTTGACATTTGGGTTATCTATAATATAAATGGCTTATAATGCTTGAGCAGACAGTATGTGCCTGTTATGTAATAGGCCCATTTCATAGATTGTTCAATGATTACTTGGTCCTTGTAGCCTGTTATAAGACAACAAACTCAGACCAGGACAGGGTAGGCCTTCCTGACAATGGGCAGCTCCTAGCTGATAGCCTAGGATGGAGGCCCGACAGCAGGCTCCAGAGAACCACGCCTGTGATCGTGTCTATCACCTTCAGGGAATAAAAACAACTGGTAGCAGTTTAAAAATCAAAATATCACTGATCTGCATTCACACTCTAATAATGTTATTCTTTAAATCATCTATGTGTATACATCAGTATGCACAGATTTACTCAATTTTTATTTTTTCCAGTAATAGAAATTGAACCCAGGGTTTTTGCAATGGATTACATCCCAGAGGGTTTGTTTGTTTGTTTGGTTTTTTTTTTTTAAAGACAGGGCTTGCTCAGTTGCTTAACTGCCCAGGCTGAGTTTGATTTTATGAACCTCCTGTCTCAACCTTCCAGAGGGCTGGGATCATAGGTGTGTAGCACCATATCTGTCTGTAAAAGATCATACATCAACCTGTAAAACTCTCCAACATAAAATAATTAGCAAATCAGTTTTTCATGCATTTCGACCATTAAATTTTCAAAGGTGATCTAGGATGAGAATTCCCTTTAGAAGAGAAGCGTGAAAACCTTGGAGCACAGAGAGCAAGCCCTTTAGAGGCAGCACATCTCTTCTGCCTCTGTGTCTGTGTCTGTGTCTGTGTCAGCCTCTGCCTCTGTCTCTGTCCCTGTCTCTGTCTCTGTGTCTGTCTGTGTCTCTCTGTCAGCCGCTGTCTCTATCTGTGTCTCTCTGTATCTGTCTCTGTGTCTGTCTCTCTCTTCTGACACCAGAGCCCTGAGCTAATGACGTGCATGTGGACCTCCTCCCCATCCATTTGACCCTGCAGCAGTAAAGTGCCTGTCTATGCAAGCTTGCTCTTGATGGAGTTTCTGATGTCAAGCCACAGACCACAGATGCTTACTGTCTCCTCCCACCTGGTCACAATAGGCCAATCAACTCAGGTAACCTTCAGTTTCACTCTTTAAAACTCAAAATATTTCCATTCCATTATCATCTTGATAGGTAGCAAAATCTGACCTGTCAAAACACTCTGACCTGTCCACGTGTGATGGGCAAATTCCATCAGAGTCAGGGAACCTTTTCGAGGTGTATCCAACTGTTAGGAGGAAAAGAAAATGGTGAATGAGCTTTATTTTTTTAAAAAAAAGTTTAAAAAAAATTAAAGGTATAGTGCATGGAGGACCAACCCAGAAGGTGTGAGTTGTGCTGGGCCTAGAATGCTGCTCCAGGGCGAAGGTTCTTTCCCGAAGAGGCGATCGCTCTATGCAATCAGGCACGGCGCTTGACACCCGGCTTTGTGGATGCCTTCCTCTGTGCTGAGTGAAGATCACACATCAAACAATCTACAGATGCTTCAGTAAGTCACTCATTTATTCACTGGCATGCTGATTTAGAAATTTCATTTAGATATTTCTAAGTATATACATTATTAAAGATAAATAGCCAAATATGCCTTAATTACATAATTGTCTTATTAAACTAGGTAAAAATGGTACCAAGACAATCAATAAACAGAGATCAGAAGGCTTAACCGCAGGTATAAATTTACTATGATGAATGTGATTGATATGTATGATGAATATATACTAATAAAATAAAGTTTAAAAAGACAACATCAAATTCTTAATAAATTACAAGAGAAATGTAATTCTGAATTTGTGAAGCTTCAGCCTTGTTTATTTGACATTTACCTCCTTCTTTTATTTCATCCTAAGGGGAGATGTACGAGTGCTGCACTCTAGCCTGCTGGACCCGTGTTATACTGCAGTGTCCGAGCTGGCACCGCTGAGGTAAAGGAACAGGCAGATCTGTGCTTGGAAACTGCCACGCAACTCGGCACTGAAGCACAGGCTGGACTGAGTTGGATTTTTTTGCCTCCCTCTCCCTCCCCTTTCCCTTTCCTTCTTTTCCTTTCCCTTCTCCTTTCCACTCTGCCTCTCTCTCTCCCTCCCTCTCTCCCTTGCATTGTGAATCCTATTTGGTCTTCATTTTTAATTAAACCTTTTGGCACATTTTTGGTACACATAATCATCGCACTCATCATAGGGAATTTGTACCTGTACATGACATATTTTGATTTTTTTCTATTTTCCCCACTCCCCTACCCTCCTTTCACCCTTTTAGAAATAAGAAAACTAAGGCTCAGGGAGATTAAAGTAACTTGTACCAAATCACAATTTGCATGACAGGATTCAAACAGAGACCACCCTTCCTTGGATCAAAACTAAATCTCTACCCTCTCGGCATCACTACACCATCTTGACCATAATATTATTTCCTCAATACCTGGGCTTTCTGATTCCATTCAAGCCTCATTTTTATTTCACAAAGTGGTGAATGCATCCTCTCACTCCTATAAACTCTCATAAATCATTTACTTCCTGGAAATAGATTATGAAGACAGAATACAACTTAATCAGATCTATGTTACTAGATTACTGACTTCTCTGAGAAGCCCAAAGATGTTTTTGTCTTCAGCTAGATTATCTAAATGGTTGCAGTTAAAACGATACCTATCTTACCAATATAGAGCGGGATCCAGAAAGTGCTGGGTTCTGCTCTACAGATTCTGATCCAATTGGGGGCAACCGGCTCCGGGAAGTTTGAATTGGAGGGGAAGACAGGTGGTCTACACTGGTTTGCCTGTAAATGCAAAGAAATGGAACTGAACATCTGGGTGCAGAGAGCGAAAGGGACAGACCTCACTATGGGGCTCTCAACCAGAAGCTACTGATCATTATCCGCCTTCCAAATTCAATGCTCAAGAAGGACAAACTTCATTTCAGCACGACAGATGCGAAGCTACTGGGAGAGATCTCTGCCTGTACTGTGGAGGAGCTATAAAGCAAGGAAGCACTTTGGCAATGTATTTCAAGAACCATAAATATATTCATAGCCAGGGCCAGGGAGATAGCTCGGTAGCATAAGAACCTGTCTGACAAGCACAAGGTCCTGAGTTTGATACTTGGTACCAAAAAAAGAAAAAAAAATATATATATATGTATATATTCATAATCTTGACCTAGTAGTTTTCCTTCCAGGACTACACCTCTAGAAAATAAGCTCAAGACACCCTCCTTCAAAGCAATATAAAATGATATTCACTGTATATCATGAATGAAAATACAGAAAAAATGAAAACTTGCACTACTAAATAAATTCATACTTCTTAAATGATTATAAACACATAACATTTTCCACTCATTAAAATCATGCTTTAGAACATATTTAATAACATGAAAAATATGAACTGTATAATTTTAAGTGAAAAAGTATTACACAAGAGTTAGTGCTAATGTTAGGACAAAGATAAGATAAAGAGAAGAAAAATATAACCATGGATAAAGCTGATAGGAAATTTATCATCAGCTATCACTTCTATATTTATGTGTGACTAAGACACACACACAGGCGATCTTTGATTTCTGTTCATAGTGCTGATATTGTCATGCTCCATGGTGAACTTTTGGGACGTAAGGTAGCAAAGGAAAATATTATTGAATTAAAGTGAATGAGAAGACTTACAGTTTGGTCCCCCTAAGAACTTCATCACTATACACATTGGGGGTTTTTATTCTTAGCGAGTCTGACATAAGAGCAGGCAGTTTCCTATGCATCACTGTTTTGTTGGCAGGAGTCTGTAATGCTCTTACGTCTGAGGTCCGCCCCAGCCGATGACGAGCAGAGGAAAGGGCACTGGCCCCTCCTGCAGATGACCTGTCCTCCCGCTCACTCCTGGGGGAGGGAAACTCAGTTACCTAAGGGCTGCAAGAGCAGAGAGCGCACCCACAGCAGTGCCGGACACACACACACACACACACACACACACACACAGCACACTTCCCTGAGTGTCTGTTGCATGACCATCACTTCCAACTCTATGGGCAAGAATCACTAAGAGGAAAAAAGATCTGCATTTCTTTCTGTTGACAATCACATAGTAAAGCCCACAGGTTACGGATTCTATATTTTGCTTTTCTATTGCTCCCAACCTAACATTCAACAGTCATTATTTTGTAGCTGACATCAGAGGAATTAGCTTTTATTCATACGTGCTGGCCATACCCTCTTGGAAGTGTGTGCAGGCCCATGTGGAGCACGAGGTTAAATGGGATGTTCCCTGTCACTCGTCCTTGCAGGGCTCAGGGCTCAAGTATGTTACCAACATAGGGAAGGGGCTAAGCGAGTCTTGTACATACTGTGTTCTATCTGCAAGGTAGGTAGGTCTCTGCTGAAGAGGCTTGGCTTGAATTGTCATCACACCTTTCAAATCATTACAGAAATTGTTAGAGAAACGATGAATCTGAGAAAAGTAAAAAACAAGTAAAATGAAAAATAAAAGAAGAAAATACTGGGCACTATTGCAACTACTGATGCATATCAGGAACTGGGAGGAAACAAATTGAACAATCTGGCTAATCTGAGAAAATTTTAGTAAAAGGAATATATTGTACACCTACACCCCTCACTTTATAAGGTTCATGCTGCATGTTAAACAAGGTAGGAAATACGGTATTAAGCTTAACAGAGTAATTTAGAGAGAGCAAAAAGCATCATAAGCAGGTAACACCTTGAATATTTTGAGACAGGGTCTCACTAAGTCTCTAAGTGGTGCAGGCTGAGCTCCTTGAACTTGAGACCCTCCAGCACCAGTCCCCTCATGCTAGGATTACAGCGAGGTGCCGCCACCCCCAGCTCAACCTTACCTTTAGAGCAGAAAAATATCAGGCAGACTTATTGTAAAGCCCTTCTAATACACAGGAAACCATGCCAAGCCTACAGGTATTGTTGAAATCAGCTTTTTGAAAATATTTCATTTATTTGCTTCTGTGCTAATTTGTTTTTGTTTCTCCCTTTACTTTTTTGAATTTTCTGGGTGTTACCTAAACTTAGGGCTCAGTTTATGTCTTATCCTAGTTTGTCAAAGAGATATTTTTACTCTCAGTTGCATAGCACTCCTGATTTAAAGGACATGTAGGCACCACATGCCCGCCAGCCCCACCCCCTGGTACACTGAGCAGGCCACCGAGTTCAGGCGTGATAGGGCAGGCCTGTAATCCCAGGGCTAGGGGAGGCTCAAAACAGAAGGATCACTACAAGTTTGAGCTGTGTAGTGAGACCCTGTACTAAATACATTTAAAAAATAAAAATAAAAGATAAAATAAAGGACAACTAATTATGAAATATAATATATAACACAGCATTTGTCTATAATACCAGCTAATACTTAAGAATGCCTACTCTAAGGGCAGGTCAGATAGCTTAGCAGACTAAAGCACCTGCTTACGCAGATGCAAGGACCATGGTTTGATCCCCAGCATGCTGTGCCAGCCCTGTACCCAGGGGCGCTGAGGCAGCAACAGAGACTGGGTGTGGTGGCACTTGCTTGCAATTCCAGTGTTTGAGAGGCTGAAAACAGGAGGAGGATCACTACTAGTCCGATCTATGTAGTGCAACTCTGCAGACTGTACCAAAGACATTTTAAAAAAAGTCTACTGCAAGCTATTTTCTGTACTAAATGTCTTATTTCCTTTAATTCTCACACCTTCCTACTGCATAGATGGGATAGGTAGTGAAACTGAGGGTTTAAGAAACAGTTAATAAATACTGATATCACACTCCAAATTTATAGTGTATATGCAAAGCCCAAATTTTTAACCAGTCAGTTCTCAACTACAATTCCTCTTCATACATGTGTGTCTGTATTCTTGTGTGTATGTAGATGTTTATGTGCGTTTGACATGGCCTGACTCCCCCTAAACTGTGAACAGTATGTAGCTTAAGACCAGAAATCATGTTTAATCCTTCTTCTCTGCTCTACACACAACATCCACTATGTGACGCGTGAAGGTCAAAGTCCCTAACACACTGAAGCCCTCCCATGAATAAGTCTAACCTTTTCTTTTTTTGTTGTTCTTATATAGTACGGGGTCTACAGGGTCTCACTACACAGATCAGACTCATAATCACCCTCTGGTTTTCAGCCTCCCAAACACTGGGATTACAGGTGTACACCACCACACCCAGTCTCAGCTGCTGTCTCCGCATGCCCTGGGGTCAAGGCTAGCACAGGACACCGGGGATCAACTTCACTGGCTGCTACTGTACATCTTTGAATAAAGACATAATTCAAGAAAAAAAAGTACTGAGTGCATAAAATATGCTAGATTCTGCATTCAGAACTCTCATATATTTCTAAGATTTGATCCTCACAATGATCTCTGAGACAACGTGTTGTTATCTTCATTGTATAGACTAGGACACTAAATTAGGAAAAGCCAACACATCTGGAATAATACTCTGAACAAGCTCTTGATTCCAATCCCACTGTTGCCACCACTGTGCTCTTTTATTTCTGGTCTTCTCCTTTGTAGACCCTCCCTCAAACCTCTGGTCCTCAAACACATTCATCTTTCCCTCACCCATGCCTTTGGCATGAAATGCTCCACTCTGCTTTTACCTACAAAAGCTCTTCTCATTCCTTCATGTTTTCTTCTTCAGACTTCACCTCTAATATCAATGATCAATCCCCATCCTCTAACTGGGGTGAATTATTATTTGACTGTTCTGCAATAGTTTCATATGCATCCCTCACAGAATGTAATACATCCAACTGTGTCATCATTTTTCACTATATCAGGGACTGCACATTTATCTGAATTATTTTCCCCAAATACCTAATATGGTATGTGAAATGCAAACAATAATCATTCAATGAACCCAATGAATATTCCCTGATTCTTCTGTCACTTTGGCAGAAAGATAGGAAGCCTTTTATAACTTTAAACTGGCTAACATTTAAGAGGAGAATATTTTTCCTCTAGCAAAAATTGTTCCACATTTCAAAGCAGTATCCATGAAAACATGCTGTGATTCTATAAAACATCATGAAATGATGCTACAACCTAATCTTATTACCAAATACCCAAAAAGCTTGCAAGTAGAACAACACTCTTGACAAGGTGAGAGATATGGTGAGACATAAAGATTAAAGGAGCAAGAGATACAGAAAGTAAATGCCTCTACCTGAGGTGGGTTCAGCTGCGAAGCCAGGGAGCCACAGCGAGTTTCAGAACTTCTGGAGGGGGGAAGACTTGGCACATCTGTGCTAAGGCGGGGGGTGAGCGCATGAGGAGATCTAGTTTCAGGTGCTTTCAATTTCTCTTTCTCTTTCTTTCCTTCTGTGTCAGTGGAAAAATCAATATTGTAACAACACCAACTTCTACAAACTTAAAATTCACTCTTCAAAGAGAATACTTGCTCTAAAATTACTATAAATTTATGTTAGGACTGCTGATTACACACATTGCAGTACAGAGCACAGAGCCCCAAAAGCAACTGGCTAAGTACTTATAGCACTGGTATTTAAAACTGAGATTATGCAACAGAGGAATAAAGATTCTCAGAGTTTTATAAAAAAAAAAAAGAAACTGATTTATTTGGCTGGTAAAGATGGTATTAAAATCAACATAATTATTGTCTGTTACTGTACCAACTGATAACCTAAAACTAGTTACTGATGTGTACCACCAATATTTCCATAATTTTTTTCTGCTGGATTTTTAGTGGCTTAGAGAACATCTTATAAGGGTGAAATGAAGATAAATGAAGTGATGACTAAACTACCCTTGTTCACACTGTGCTTTATAAATGATGTCATGAAAGAGTTTTTAAATCTCATGATTAATGATTAGTTTCATAATTTTTTTTAAACCACAGTATATTTCTATGATTTCTACAGACTGCATATGTATTATTTTTGTAACCCCCAAAACAATAATGCCCTTTTGAAGTGATTAAAGATCACAGGAGAATATTGGCAGTCAGCCCACTTTTCTTCTCATTCTAGTCATGTGCAAGATGTGGCTGGGTTGGATACCCAAAACTGAAGGAAAGGGGTCTCTCTCTTTTTTATGCTCAGTAGGCCAGATTCTACAAACATACCTGTCAATGTAGTTTCCCAGTTCTGCCGAATTAGCTCCTTCAGTATTACTACCACATTTTCCCAAACGCGATCGAATACTTCCGCTGCCACGGTCTCTTTGATGCAGTCATGAGGAGAGACGGGCGGAATTCCGTGCTTACGCCACTTTCTGCCAGGGCGAGCTGGCTTTTGTTCACGATGCACGTCACCACTAAGGATGAAATCTCATTCTAATTACCAGAGTAACCAGATTAAAGTTACACTCTACCGCTGACTAGCCATCTGTCTATCTATGATGGGTGTATGTGTATATACTTACACACGTTAATAGATATAACATCCATTTGGGGGCAGCACATTGCTATTTTTCATATATTTTTTATTTGTTAACTATACCTCAGTAAAGCCAAGAAAAAGCAAAGCAAGCAATTTATTTTACTTTTTCCTAGTCTTTACTTCACTTGTATCTGTCCCACCTGTCACTTCCTTCTTTGTCTTAACTCTGGTCTTACTTTGTTCTTTTTCTTATTCCTTCAGATGTAAAGTTAGTTTCCTTATTTGAACCCTAAATCACAGGTATTCACTGCTACAGATTTCCCTCTTAGAACAGCTTTTGTTGTACCCCCCAAGTGCTAGTAGGCTGCACTTCCCTTTTTGTTTATCTCAACATATATTTATGTTTTCCTTTTGATTTCTTCCTTGAACTATTAGTTCAGGAATATGTTCTTTAATTTCTACATATTGGTGAATTTTCTAGATTTCCTCCTGTTACTGATTTCTGGTTTTCAACTATAGTACTATGCTTTGAAGACAGGCTTGATATGATTTCAATCTCTGAAATTAGCTAAGACTTATTTTATCAACTGGTTATTTCTTTAACAATTTTTAATCACAAAGCAAATTTTTACCCTTCAATATTTGTAGCTTTTCTTTAAGAACAAAATATGCACATTTTGTATGGAACTTTCCCATTGCTCTTTCTGCTGCCAGACACAGACCGTGAGGCCCCAGGGCACTACACAGGGTCACGAGCCTTATTCGGTTTCACTGGCACGCAGGGCACAGCTCTGGTTTTCTATCATATGTGCCATGAGTTCAAGAAGAAAGGCAGTTACTGCTGTAGTATATAAAGTTACTGCTAGGAACTGAAAATATTTGGGAAGTGCACATTACTTCAAAAGAATGGAAATCTTCTGGATAAGAAAAAAAACAACAACAACACAGAACACCGAATGAGCGATATTAGTCACTTTCCCATCAGTGGATTAAGCACTCGAAGAGAGGTTAAAATTCAGCTCAAGGTCCCAGTCTTTGGCTGGCTGGCTCCAACACAGAAATAGGGTGGGAGAGGGGCACAACACAGGAAAAGATGCCCAACCTATGGCAGCCAGAAAACAGAGAAAAACGCAGAAACCAGAAGCAAGAATATGCTCCTCCAGGTCACAGGCACGTGCCTTCCGACCTGCAACCAGAGCCCACCTTCGAAGAGTACTCTTAGCTCTGAACCCTCCTTTGTATTAATCCCAATGAGTATTACTGCCCACTTCATTCTGATCACCTTCCAAAGCCTCCACTTCTGAACACAACAGCCTTTGGGGGGGCATTCTAAACCCAAACCATAGCAAGTATACAATAAAAATGTCAAATGAGTTAACATTATACAATGTCAAATGAAACTCTATTTACTCCTCTTTCCTGTCAAATGCGAAATACTCTTCAATCTTCCCATCCACACCATAAACCTCTTCTTCCAGGCATGGACGTGCCACTTGGCTGGAAGCCCCGGTGCCATCACAGCCTGGCAGGGCAGAGACGGTGAGTGCTGCAGGCACTATCTGAGAGCCAGAGATGCACAGCCTGTGGGGGAAAACAGACTGTTGGGGGCTTATAGAACACAGGAATGTAAGGCTTGCATGACCACAGCAGGTCTTTAAACTATCCTTCAAGTATAAAATCATAATTTGAAAAATCATATAACGTATTACATTTGACAGAACTCATCTTTTAAAAAATATTTTAACACAGGCATCATAAAAGTTTTTAAGGGCTGCTTAAAAGATTAAGTTATTTTTCATATCTGTATTGTCTGTGCTACCTTAAAATGATGTGAAGACACAGTGAATTGGAACTAGGAGGTTTATCATTCTGTCAGTGATCACAAAACAAGCTAGCATTATTTCTTCTGCTTCCACTGCCTCAAGATTTATGGGGGCTGGAGCAATAGCTCAGTAGAATAAGCACTTGCCTGGCAAGTGCAAGGACCTAAATTCAATCACTGGTTCTGCCAAAAGAAAAAAAATGTGGTTTAATTGGTCAAGTAATGGATGTGACTCATCCACATGGCTGACACTAACAAAGGATCTACAAACTGTAGTAGACAGTTTCAGGATAAATCCTGAGGGGATTTGACTGACCTTGTCAGATACAAAAGTTACATTTCTTGTTATATAGGTCTTGCTTTATCTTAGTCTTAACCATCCAGCAGAAAAGTATAAAAATGAGGTATAAAAAGTAAAGTCATATGAATATGCTGAACTGTAAAAGGCTCAAGTCAACAACTTCTGACAT